ACTGTGTTTAGTGATAATAATCCACTCACTTATGTCCTGTCAAGTGCCAAGCTCAACGCAACCGGATGCAGATGGGTAGCAGAGCTTGCAGACTTTCATTTTACTATCAGGTACCAACCTGGTAAAGAAAATGTGGATGCTGACAGTCTGTGAAGAACATTGAAGAGATGATGACACAGTGTACTGAAGATTTGGCATCAGATTGTGTGGCAGCAACAACCCAAGCTGTTGAGTCTCAAGACACCAGCTCACCAGGGGTCTGTCCAGTACAGTGCACAGCAGTAAATGAAGCGACACACAAAGAATTCTCAGCTGCTGAGATTCGACAAGCACAGCAAGATAACAAGAACATTGGTTCTTCACTTCACTCATTTTGCACAGGCCTATGCTACAACCTCCAAGTCTGCCAAAACAGTTGCTAATCGCATATTCAAAGATTATGCCCTGAAGTTTGACTGCCGACGCGGATTCACCATGATCAAGGCGGCGAATTTGAGAACCAGCTCTTTGCCCAGCTGAAAAAGAACTGTGGTGTATTAGGGTCGCGGACAACACCATATCACCCACAAGGGAATGGCCAAGTCGAGCGTTTTAATCGAACACTGTTACAAATGCTAAAGACACTCACAGATAAACAGAAGACAAACTGGAAAGAGTCCTTGAACAAGTTGATCTATTCATATAACTGCACACGATGTGATGTAACAGGCTTCTCCCCTTTTTACCTTCTATTTGGAAGGTCCCCAAGGTTACCTATTGATCTCCTGTTTGGACTCACCTCAGAGACAGGAAAAACAGACCATCGAGCATACATGGAGAAATGGAAACGAGAAATGCAGGAAGCATATGGAATAGTACAAGAGAATGCAAAGAAGTCAACCTAGAGAAGCAAAAGAGATTATGATGTAAAAGTGAGAAGCTCAGTGTTTTGCCCAGGTCACCGCATCCTTGTGAGAAATCTGACACCTAGAGGAGGCACTGGAAAACTGCGTAGTCACTGGGAAGAGAACAATCATGTTGTAACACGCCAGGTTGGAGAAGACATCCCAGTCTATGAAGTTAAACCTGAGCAGGGAAGAGGAAGGTCAAGACTCATCGCAATCTGTTGCTACCGAAAAGAAAAGAAAAAAAGACAGCCACAGAAAATGCAAATCTGGAAGAGGAAGAAGAAGATGATAAATGTGAGTACTATTACAAGCCAGTAATACAGTCTCAAGTGCCCAGCGCGGAAACGACCATGACGACACACAAGAGGATGACCAGGAAACTTCAGTGTTGAGCACTGATGAGCCAGTGTTTGAAGAAAGACTCCTAACAAACACAAATGAGCCTGAGATACAACAGGAGAATGGGCTGCAAGAAGAAGATGATCAGAGTGAGGATCTACAACAAGTGGGAGAAACACAGGACGAGATTCCAGATTCCCCAGATCCAGATTCAGGTGAGGACGACAGGGAACAAAGACATGACTTGCAGAGGACAGAAAGAAGAGCTCCTAAAATTTTCACCTATGACCAACTTGGGACTCCAACATGGTATAGTGCAGCACATGCAAATGAAATGCTTTACCAGTATCAGCCTGTACTATATAGAGACGTTCAGCCAATGTGGACAAATCCATATCAAATTTACCAACCTGTACTTATGCAGAGATATTAGGCATGACACAGGTGTGGACTGGTCAGTACAAAAAGAGACTGTTTAACTGAAGAGAAAATATCACCAAATTGAGTAGGGTCAGGTATAAGCAGTACATCTATACTTATCGTTATGTTGAGGACTCTTGGGTCATGAACGTTGAGATGTCGGGACGACATCTAATTTAGCAGGGGAGTGTGTGATAGATTGATTTTATGTAAAAAAAAAAAAAGAAAAAAAACAGTTGTATAAAAAGCAATGAATACAGAATACATGCTACAACTAAAAAACTAACAGTTAGTTGAACTAACAGAGTTAAAAACTAATGGCATAAGGATATTTACCTGTCAAAGAAGTTTAATTAACAGAGTTAAAAATTAATGGCATAAGGATACTTACCTGTCAGAGGTTGAATTAATCTGTGATCATCTGTTGATCCTTTTCTGAGAAACCACCTGTGATTGAATAGTTATGCCTGCAGAGGTTGAAAGGGGGAGCTCTGCCTTATTCTGAATGAAGCTGCCAGAAGAGAAGCATTGTGTCCATACGTTTCATTCATTCACTCCCCTTTTCACGTATAGAATGTATAGAGTATTTATAGAGTTGATGTTA